TCTTTTCCTTCCTCTCTCTTCCTCCCTCCCTCCCTGCCTCCCTCCCTCACTCACTCCCTCACTCTCTCTCTTTTCCTCATGTTATTCTACATGCTATTTTAAACCCCTCCTCTCCTCCATACTCCCACTCATTCTCTCTCTCTGTCTTCCCCTTTCTCTCTCTCCCTCTCTCTCTCCATCTTTCTAAAAATTTGATGATGCTTTTTAATGATAGATGAGTTGCCCTTGATAGCTTGTTCTTGCCTGTCAGAAACCGAGACTGCTCTGCATTCCCAGGATCCACTGTTTGTAAGTACAGCCTGCATCTGTGTGTGTGTGTGTGTGTGTGTGTGTGTGTGTGTGTGTAGACATGTGCCACTGTAGGCTGTGTGTGAACAGGCCTCATTTGGTGCTTCAAATATAGGCACTGTTTATTTTTACCTTCCTAAAAATATGCTTATGGAATGTACAAGCGTGTATGCGTCTATGCACGCAGGCATGATGCTGTAGCTAAAGCAGATTCCACATGACAGATTACACACATGAACACGTGCATATGAGTGTTCATTTTCTCTGCTAACTAGCTTAATATCACAAGTAGGATGTTTTTGTTCTAAGTCCTACATATATGAGGGTCAGCTGCTGACCCCAGTCAGTATGTCCTACTTTTGGCATTCATAAATTTGTGTACAAGTTCACCTGCATACAATACAAATGCAGAGGTCCAATCTGTCCAATACGCTGTCGTACAAGGTCAGGATAGTTGTGGAAATGTGTGTGTTTTGTATGTGGACATGGTTTAAGCCTTTGGCTAGGAATCATAACGGATCTGTCATCATGACATTTTCTGAACACAAGTGAAACATAAGTCAGGCAACAGCAGCAGCAGAAATGCTGGCTGTAGCACATGATGGTGATAAATGTGAGAGAAGATGATTTAGCTGATTTTTAGAGAGAGAGAGATTTATGAGGGCAGGAAGAGAGCTCACTAAGCCTGAGCTTCCCAAATGTTTCATGTGGGACTGATAATTGATGTTTTAATGGATAATTGGTGAAGCTTTCGGCTCCACTCCTCTTTTCAGCAATCAGTCACAGGCGCAAGGGACATCACAATGTTTCTCATTTCAGAGCCAATAAACGCAGCTAATATCGCTCCACTTACTGCTGCTAGACCCTCCACTCGTGACCTTCTCCAGTGGCATCAGTCAGATAATGCTGAGTGTGATGATAAATGCACAGATATTAGTGGGACTGCTTAACATTTTGGGTTAGCCAGGCTGTGTATAAAGCAGCATTGGCTGGAGGGTTTATACTGCTGGTCTAGGATCAGCTCTCCTTGCCTAAATCTTGCCAAGCAAAACAGCAAAACTGGTCTTGGGCCAACTTCTGCTGATACCAGCAGGGTACAATTTGCCCATAGAAAACCTGTTGTTTGTACTGTTGTGATTTCTATTATCCAGTGTTGTGTTTGATTATAGTTATTCAGTTTGGTATGGTTTACCTCATCAGCTGTAAGATTCTGGTGTATCCCAAAGCTGTATTATTTGGATCGCCTACTTAGGAATTACAGTATTTTTTCATTTTGGTGATTTTCATACACACCATACTGGTCAGAGACCACTCTCGTTATTTTACTTTTAGACAGAACAACTATTAAGTATAACTCATTCATTTTCAGGAGATTTTTCAGTGGAGATTACATGTAAGATAATCCACCTGCATAAGAAGAGGAAACTCAAAGGAAAAGAAGTGAAATAACAAAACTGAGTTTAAAAAGTTATTTAAAGATTTAGAGATAAAGCTCTAAAGATGAAACTCCTAAAAACAGTGCAGGACCTGGTAGACTGCCAAAACTGTCATGATTAGATAAACAGCACTTTAAGCTTTCTTCTCTGAGAGAGAGAGGAGAAAATCAAGCTCTACTCTTGCTTCAGATCTGAAAAATCCACAGCTGTTTCTGTCCATCCTTCCACTGTGAGAAGACAACTCAGTGATATGGGACTGAAAGGATGTCTCTGAGAGAGAGAGAAGAAAATCCACAAATGAAACTGCTGGTGTTCTTAGAACAATGAACTGACCACTCCACATTACAGACCTCAACATCATTGAGATTACGTTCATTAAGACGGTGAGAAGCACAACCAACTTCTAAGACTGAGTTTTGAAAGTGTGGAAAAACACACAGCAAAAACTCTGCAGATTTCTTTGACAAACTGAAAGCATCCTGAAAGTCTCGCAAAAAGAATGGAAGCTGTAATAAAGGCAAAAGGTGGACACACTAAATACTGAAATATGATGCTTTGGTGTAATTTTCTGTTAAATACAGTATATGCTTGACACTGTTTTACCGGAAGTGAAATAAATGAAGAGTGGTCTCTGACTTTTGCACAGTACTGTATGAAATGAGCCAGGTTTGATGCATAGCCGTAGTTAGTGTAGCGTGTTTTATTGGTGTGTGTATGTGTGTATGTGCTGTCCCCTCTAGCTGGGATTGACTCACGAGTATGTGGCTGTGTGTATTCTGACTGCCATCTCTGCGTGTCTTCATGTTTGGGCTGTGCGTCTCTGGCCGAGCCTCAACACCAGAAGAACTTTGTCCCTGAAGTGTGTCCTACACGCAGCTTGCTGTTAATTGCTTGTTCATGATTCAATTTGCATGCAATGTAAGGTGCAGTCCAACAGTTTCTGTGTGGATGCACACTGTCTTGGCTTGTCTGTTCCTCCCTGCATCTCCCTCTATTCCCCCTTCATTCTCTGGATATGCACGTGTAAGAATGTATGCGCTAGATGAAAGCGCAACGGGTCCTGACTGACATATAAAGTGAACCGACTCTATTAATAGACGCCCATACCCTTACACACTCCCATGCACATGCACACGCATACAGACATGAGCTGATTCAGCTGTAGTGTCCTTGCTCTAGGAGATTCCTGTAGCAACGTCAGTGCTCCACCAATCAGAGAACTGCCTTTTTCAGAGTGCTACAAACAGCCTTCCCTTCGCTGTTGGCCAAAGTGAGGCAAAGCTAGCCAAACCATTCATATGCTCATATACTCAAACCCTGCTGTCCTTTAGCTCCTGGACTGCTCCCTACTGGCTCAGGGACAACAGACAGAGCAGACAGAACTAGACGAGCCACATAAAGTCATAGAGGCCTTGGGTGATATCTTATACTGTCTGTTGATTACTAACACTAAACAGTCCACACCATGCTAAATGCTGGATGCAAGACATGCATTACATAAATGCATTAACATGGTGGCATGGTATTAACATGCTAATGCACTGTGGTACTTAGTTAAATGTCTGGGCGCCCCTGGTCAGATTACATGTTTTGTTGACATTCTAAGTAAATGTAAGTGAACACATCCCCTACAGAGAACACACTTCTGCACATTTTAATGTACAGTTACTGTTTATTTAATATGTGGCCTGTGCAAAAGTTATGTCATTTTATATTTTATGTTTTATTTTTTCCCATTTTGCTAAACTCAGCAAATAAACAGAAATTGCACAAAAAATTTAGAGGCGGTCAACATTACATGTCAGTAGAAAATAACAGGAATGCAAGAATAGCTAGCTAGCATTTTGAGACTCTTTTTCTTTGGCTTTCATATTTTGCAGTGATGGAGATTTGATTTTTAGTAATCTGTTTTGCGTTGACTTCCGCCCAGTGACCGCTGACATAGGCACCAGCGCCAACCCCAACTCCCCCGCAACCCAGAAGGATAAGCGGCTTAGAAAATGTGTGTGTGTGTGTGTTTTGCCTTGAGGAAGATCTGTTGGAAAACATCAGCTACATGATACTGGATGGCTTCTTTAAAATACATTGTCCATTTTTTTTGAAGGAAATGCTCTTAAAAGTAATTTAGAATTTATAATTTTTTTCTGTCTTAATTAGTAAATTAAAGAATTATTTTCTGTCTTATTAAATGAATGATCCATTATATAAATACATTTATTTTATAAACATTCCATAATTATTACATACATATTGAAGTGAGGTAAGTCTTTATATATGAATAATATGTACTGTTACATAAATTCTTGAGCACCTAATATGTGTGAAATTGTGTAGTATATACAGTGCTGTGCAAAAGACTGAGGTGCCTGAGAAAATGAGGTCAAGAAAGCTGTTTATCTGCTCAGTAAGTGTTTATTTGCATTAATATTAGATTGAATTTAAATGATATTAATGCATAAGTAGTGATTTTATGTATGTCAGTGTTTCCATTGAACCATTTCCTAATCTCTCCTCGTGGCAGCCCAGTATTATGTGTAGTGAACACCTGGTGTGGCTAATCAGGGCTTTATTAAAATTTAATGAAGTGTGTTGGTGACGGAATTCAATAAATCTATGTGACAAATGTGGATCCAAACTTTATTCTTCAAATTAGCTCATAATTTTATTAGGAAAAAGTTCTTGTTACTTTTTACTGTACATCTATTCTAATAATATATTGCAATTTAGAACATACAAACTTCCTGCCCACACACTGCCCACATTTGCACAGTGCTGTGTGCACTGTGTTATTTGTCCTGTCACTGTAAGAGAAGCATCTCCTTTCCTAATACAGACCTTGATGTGGTTGACTAGTGACGGCTTTATTAGACAGAAAAAACAGAGAAACAGAGAAAATAATCTGTCTGTACCTCTCTCTCTCTCTCTCTCTCTCTCTCTCTCTCTCTCTGTTGAGGGTGAGTCTCAGTGACACTGCCGTGAGGTGATGGAGTTAAATTGGCTATTTCCATGTAAATACATGTGTGCGGTAATTACAGCTGAGATGACTGAGGACGGGCAGTGTGATTTCAGCAATCAGAGGGAAGAGCGGGAGAAATGGAGAGGTGCGAGGAGAGGTGGAGGAGGAAGACGGGCGAGAGGATAATGGCTTACATACAGACATAGTGGAGGCACTCCAAAGCTGTGTTTCTTTCATAGGCTTAATTAGGAGGCTGGCAATGACCTTTATCTCTTTCGTTCTTTCTCTCTTTCTCTCGCTCTCGTTCTGTCCTTCTCTAGGGAAAGAGGAATAAACCAGGAGTCGAGTCAGCGGGCACTCCAGACTCCGCACGAGGCCGAGGAGAGAAGAAAGCCATCAAGTAGGTGGAGGGCATCACTCACACTGTCTGTCTTCATTCCATTCTCTCTCTCTCTCTCTCTTTCTCTCTCTCTCTCTCTCTCTCTCTCTCTCTCTTCTCTCTCTCTCTCTCGCTCTCTCTTTCTCTCTCTATCTCTTTCCCTGTACTTGGGTGGGGAGGGTGGGGTGGCATCGGTCCACTCTGTAAGAGATGGTAAGGCAGGGGCAGGAGTCCAGTTCCAGTTGATGACCACTAACGTGCTGATGACCTGAATCCCCCCCCTCTGCTGATAGCCTGTGGTCATGTGACCAGCACCATCAAGTTCCTCACTTCTTTTGCTTCAGTCTCTTCCAACCCTGTTTGTATTTTTCTGTATTGGAATGTTAACCAGTTTTTCTGCTGCAGGGTTTCAGAATCAGCTGATCTGCTTTAAAAAAAGAAAAAAAAAAGCTATATCAACGTACTCTATGCAAACCAAAGCCTCTTCCTCTTTCATATTCATCGAGGAGTGTCTTTTACATTATGCATGATTCCGCTTCTTTGACTGATAGCATCTCTGAATACAGCAAGTAGCGCTTAAGTGTGTGCGATGGCAGAGTATGAGCAATGGGGAGCGGCGCACTTAGTAGATGAATCTGTTCTTAATAGAGGATTTTCTTTTGTGCGTGTGTGCGTGTGTCAGGTGCTTGGCGGTCTTAAGTGTTGCCTGTAAATGAGAGTTAAGTGGGTTTGGGTGTGTGGTGTTGGCGTGCAGCTGCTGTTGTTGGTGCGAGCTGGCGAAGGCGAATGCAATCGCTGCTTCCTTTTCTCGTTCTGCTGGAGAGGTCGTTTGATCTCTCACTCGTGACTCATGTAAAGTGAGTTCAATTGCCTCCGTAATGCAGCTGCACTCTGAGAATAATAATGGGGCATCCGTGTTTGTCTGTTTGCAGGTGGTGTTGAAGTCTGTATGTGTGTGTGTGTTTTTTTTTATTTCCCTGCATTTCATGAGTGTAAGTTTCAAAGTAGTCAGCCTGATGTGTTTATTTTTATTGCCTGATGCTGAGAGCTGCTTGTTCTCTTTGTGCTTTGGTCTCTGTGGATATTGCTGCAACGATCTGCCTGAATTTTTTTTCCTCCCTGACGTCTTTAGGTAATATGCGCCGCAGTTCTGAGCATGCAGGCTGGACTCTGTGTTTCTCCAGATCATTTATTCATTGTTTTCTCTGGCTCAGTCTTACTAACTCTCTCCTCTTTAGCAAAGCAAAATGTCTATACATGCTTGTGTTTGAATGTTGTATTTACTTCTGAACTTGTATAATGTTTTGGTTCATGTTTCTATGCAGTGATCTAACATTGATGAAATCCATATTTTTCCCTCTTTCCTTTCTTGTTCTCTCTCCCTACTTCTCTGTCTCTTTCCCTCTCACTGATCTGTATATAACAAAGCAATGCAGTAAATGTAGAGATATATTTCCTCTGGTTCTTTCAAGGCTGCTATCCTTTGCTGTGAGGACACTAACTCTGCTTTCCTCCACTGAATCCCTGTTTAAACCACACTTTTTTCAGTAGGATGTAAATGGGAGATGGACACCTCCACTAGCCTCTACCCTAAATACACACGCACTACACTGCCACACTGTCTCTGCTTCTTAAAATGGTGTTCACTTTACTACTGATTGATTGATGGATGGATGCACGGCTGGACGCCTGATGAGTGGATGGATGTGCTGTGTCTCATGGATGTGTGTCTCTCTCTGGCCTTCAGTGATCTAGACAGAGACTTTTGGAATAACAATGACAGCAATTCAGAGCAGCAGCGGTGGAGCTCCTACCCGCCCAAGGAGTTTGTACTAAACATTTCTCCCTATGCCCCTTACGGAGACCCTCGCCTCACGCTCAAGTGAGTCTCTGTCCAGGCTGGTAAGAGACCCCAACCCTTACCCAAACAGCCCCCACCCCACCTCCCTAACCTACCTTGCTCACTCACCCCTGGCAGAGCTGTAGAGTGCAGATGAGGACATAAACTTGATCCTCTAAAGCATGGCCTTTTCCTAAAACCATTAAGCTAAGGTCAGACATGTATACAATGTGTCCAAAAGTTTGTAGACACCTGCTCATGCATTTCTTCTGAAATCAAGTGTATTAACAGGGAGTTTGTCCCCCTTTGCTGCAGTTACAGCCTCTTCTGAAAAGGCTTTACACTAGATGTTGAAACACTGCTGTGAGGATTTGATTGCATTCAGCCACGAGCACATTAGTGAGGTCAGGTACTGATGTTGGATGATTAGTTCTGGATTAAATATGCTACTCCAACTCATCCAAAAGGTATTGGGTGGAGCTCCATCACTCTAGAGAACACAGTTCCACTGCTCCACAGTTCAGTGCTGGGGGGGCTTTATACCCCTCTAGATGACACATGGCAACCTTAGGCTCATGTGCAGCTGCTCCACAGCATCCAATTCTATTAGCAGTGCTTTTCTGTGGAGATTATATAAGCTGCAAGTGTGCAATTGAATGTCAGCAGTGGTGCACCTTCAAGTGGCTGAATAACTAATTAGAATAGGTATATAGACACTTTTGGACATGTAGTGTATAGTTTGATGCCTAAGCTGTAGGAGCTACAAGTCCCAAATAACCTGCTGCATTTGTAACATTGCAGGATAATTTTTATTTATATAGTTACCCAGTTCTTTCACACGTGAAAATTTTGCATTTATGTAGGAATACACCTCATATCTTAAAAATGGTAACTTTACAGGATAAAGAAAAAAACCTTCTTAACCTATAATGAAAGTTAATGTAACTAGATTTTTTCAGTCATTTTGGACCATTTCTGTGAATTTTTTATCACAATGTAAAGAGTAACTGGAGTTTTCAAATTATATAAAAAGTACAAACAGACACGAATGGAGAAACAGGGTTTTTTGATGATATACAGTTTATTACTTGCAGTAAGGCACTGATTTTAGAGACGGCAATGGCTTCTTTCATAACTGGCACTTTGTATGCACATTTAGACAAGGTGTGAATCTGTGCAGTGCCCAAGATGTGAAGGACCAGCATGAGCACCTCTGGAGGGAGACTCTTGCTGTGTTTAGATTTCAGTTTGGTGTAAATTCAGTCTGGCCAGCTTAAGTGCATTCACTAGGGGAGATCATCAATTCTCTGACTGAAAATGTTCATGTCTTGGGGACCTGATAACGATATGTCCTTGGTGAGTGCTTGGTGAGTGCTCCACTCACCAGCAAGCAATTTAAAGCAATATGTAAATGTGTCTACAGCAAGGTTATCTGAAAATTGCCTGCACATACATTTTGCATCCTGGATGCCAGATATAAAAGCGGCCAATATTACATTAAGTTGAAATGTAACTAATTATTGCTTCATGGAAATTAATATTTAAACATCACACTGGTTACCCACCCGTTGCTAATGCACACAGTGTTGCATGGTCAGCAGAATTAAGCTGGATTGCTCTAGCTCTAAACTCTTACTGTTACTCATGCTTGTGCCTCCCACACACTGAAACTTTTAACTAAATGTCACACATGTTATTCAGACTCCTCTCCGTCAGCCATCTTAGAGCACACTGCTGTAATTCTTTGTGGTTCATTTCCTTAATTAAGCCTGCAGGTTAATGCAACTTCTTAGTTGTCCCTTAGAAGATGACAAGAAAAAAGTTGTGTGTAAATGCCCCTCACTCTCTACAGCCCTGCCAGCCTTCCCTGACCCGTAGCCTCCAACGTCACCCCTTTACCCCCATGGGGTGTTACCATGGAGACGGACAACCCTCGCTGTTGTGACACTCTAACAAATGAGTTGACGTCTACAGAGCCACCCCACTAGTGCATCCAATGTTTATTTCTGTTTTGCTTTCCCTTCTCTTCCCTCGCTCTGTCCCATTGAGGGTTGACCGTTGGAGTGAAGTCGTGGTGTGGTAACACTCTTAACCCTGGCTGTGCGTTTGCCATGTTTGGCCTCATAGTGTGTTGTTTTGCCTTTCTGTGCGGTCCCTCTAGCACCTCTTTCCCCCCAGTGTCTGACTGAATGTCTCCCTGCAGCCCACCTCGCCTTCCCTGTCCTACAGTGAGGAGGTGATCTCACACCCGTTTAATTCAGCTCGATTCATTCAGATCCTGTGCCTCCTAAAGAGCCGATTACAGCAGAGGAGCGTTCACTCACTCTAGCGCTGTGGAGTAAGCTTCAATAGCACCTGTCTGTCAAAAACTCTGGCTTTGAGTGCAGAAGCAAGAAAGTTATCAGATGGGTTGAGCTGGCAGGAACTTTAAAAAAAGGACAGACATGCCCCGATCAAGTGTATTTACATCTAATGCTGATCTGAGTTAATATTAAATATCTGCTGACATTGAATTGATTCACTATTGGTATTGTCATAGATAATACAGTTGTACAGTGCACATTTCAAGTACATTAAAGTAAGTAAAACCAAACCAATTTTAGGAAAGTTATGATAGGCTGCCTATTACTTTAAAAAGCTACAATAAAATCACTTTATTTCAAGTATGTGCACATTTTGTTTATTTTTAAAACTCATTTATACCTTGAATATGCTACTTTAGTACTTTAATACTTAAGTTGGCTTTGAATGCAGCTAGATTTTTTTTGTTGATATTACAAGTGGCTGTTGGGCTGTTTGCATGTTCCTCTTTTAAATAGTTCCACTCAGACATTTAGACTGCATGTTAACTTCTGAAACTAGCCACACTGCCATCGGTTTTGTATAATGTCTGTACTACAACAGTGCACAGTAGCGTAAAATAGCTTTAAGAAAGGATTAGAAGTGGATCTGGCTTAATATAGCTGATATGGATCCATGAAATTATGCCTTGATCAGCTCAGATACCAATATTTTATCGGATCGAGACATCCCTAATTCTACATAGTCTCAGTGGATATCAGCAGTCCGGTTCCGAAAGCGGCCCAGGGGAGTTCGGAGTCGGCTGAATTAAAACGGTGTGGGGTGGATCTGAACTACAGCGTCAGAAGCGCTGGGGTCAGAGATGAGAACTGTGGATTCAAGCAAAACCAACAGAGACGACTGATTCATTTTGCCACGCAGAACAGCCCATTTGTCACACTCCTAGCAGAGTCGATATATAAGACCATCAAAGTGTCTTTTGGACCGTTTAACCTTCGGTTAGAATTTATAGTCTTGGCTGTGCCATTAGATGTAGAGTGGGAAGAGAGTGTTTATGTTTGTGAGGAAATGTGTCTGAATGTGTCACTATTACTCATCCCATCTAAGGAGATCATAAGGCATGAGGTTCACATGGCCCTTTATTTGTTCTGGCAGGTTTCTTTAGATCAGTGCTCTATATATGCTATGGAATGCGGTGTGGTTAGTTTAGTAAAAAGTTAAAGTACTTAAGATTAGCCCATCAGCATGTTGATTTAGAGAGGACAGGTGGAAGTAAGACAGTTGATCTCACCTGGTTTTGCTCTGGTCTGCAGCTGCCACTCTCATTTGCTCAAAACCTCCTAATTGTACCTGCTATTTTATTGCTGCTGTTTGTGGTGATGTGTTATCTGTGTTCCTCCCATGCAGTATGTAAGAATCCCATGTTGATCATGTGATTCACAGGATCATATAACGATAATGAGGGATCACACTGACTGCACGATGCTAACCTGTTTGAGATTATTCTCCGTTTGTGTTGAAACTGTGGGCTTTCAATGATATTATAATTCAAAGGAGGGTCTCTAAACAGAAGCGTGTCTTCAGCATCACCAGGGGGTGCTGCAGTCCTAGCTTTTCCATCATCATAGATGTCAGCGGTGCCATTCCAGTAAGATCTATCAAAGCTGAGAACACTCTACCTTCCTGCATTAGTGAGAGTAACCGCATCACACACAGCCAGAATATCCTGAGCTAATGACGCTGGACTCAGTAAGGCCCCCTAGTGAGCGGCCTGCGCTCTCTGACACTTTCGCTAATGGCATCGACTAACAGGAACTCCCTGGGCTCGCGAGCCCGGGCCTCAATTATGAGAGCGGTCCGAGCCGATATTCATTTCATCCGTCTTTGTGCTGACACCTCCACAATAACTCTGGGCCTTCAAAACCCCTGAGAGCTGCTCTCGCAGCAACTGGCTGTTTATGCGTGTTGGGAAACGTAAGGCACTAGAGCCACTGAGGTTACTGAGAGGCAAGAACGCCCTAAGCAATCAGGCTGTGGCTGTAGACGAGAGTCGCTCAGAAATGAGCAGCAGCTGGAAGAATCGAAAAACCAGGACTCCTTCATGTCAGGCCCATATGCTGGCCACAGCATGCGTGCTTCTGCTCTCAGCTAGTGCTGTAAGTAGAGTGCAGTCAGGCTTTCAGTGAACACTGTGGGAACTGGAGCTGTAGTCAGTGCAGGATCTTTCCAGGCTGAGAACTCACAGTCGACTCGCTGACTGGCGCCCACTCCACACACCTACTCGTGCTACCTACTGGACCCTTTTTGGTCACACACAGTTGGTGTTATTGGTGATACACTGAAATTGCTGAAAACAAAAAGTGAAAGAAAGAATTTTTTAAGATGAATTTGTCAATTATGCTTTTGAATAAATGTACTAAAAATAATAAACACACTAAAGATAAAGAATAAAAAAGTAAAGAAAATGCACTTTTATTATTGATAATAAAAAATCTGCTTTCTTAACTGACCGTAAATAAAAACACTACATAAAATTTGCCGGCTAAAGTATGTGCCTATGAAATCCAACGTCCTTTACAACAGAGAACAGTTCGTCATCCAGGGCAATGAATGTTATTTTTTAGTTAGACTCTGTACTTTAATATGTCATTTCTAAACTTTTAGCTACATATGCCATCGGCATGCTAGCAGAGACTTTCCCTTCTGTTTCTTTTGCTTTGCTGTATTCTGCATATCAAGCA